ATGGCCAATCTTAAGGGTCAGTGTGGATTTTACTGATCGCAGTAACTGAAAGAATCTAAACGTAGAGAAGAAACTTGATTAACAGGCATGTTGTACAGCCTTAGACTTGCTTCTGATCTGGTATTCAGAATACAAGTGCATGTTGGCTAACAGAAGAGATTAAAATAGTTTAGATAGATGCAGATCCAGAAATACTAGAGCTGGGAAGCTTTTGAAAGATCGTTTAGCTTAATCCTTTTATTTTGTAGATGAGGAAACTGAAGCCCACACTGAGAATTATAACAATTTTGATTTATAAGGCACTGAAAATGTTATCCAGTTGACCTCCCAATACTTTCTTACATTGTGGGAATTTCTCCCTCAGCATGGTAGATAGCAAGCCATCCAGATGCTGGAGAAACTCATACCATATTTAAAGAAAATTCATTCTATTATAGGATAACTTTAATTAAAAAGAATGAGATAAAATGAAATTTACTTCCCTATAACTTTTACCTTCTCAGCAATTCTTATTTCTCTCCTGTGTAACATCTCCCAAAGTAAGACCTTCTCAAATCCTCAAATTAACAAACATTACTACAGCATATACTTTTCTTGATCAAAGTAAAGCATGACTGAAAAGAGAACTGATTCCATAAAGACAGAGTACTTTACTTTTTCCTATATCTGGAGTTTATGTTTTTCTACCTAAGAACCACAATTTTCTTGATCGTTATGACTTTTTTTTTTTTTTGAGACAGTCTTGCTTCAACTCGCTTTGTAGCCCAGGCTGACCTGAACTCATGGCAGTCCTCCTGTGTCAGCCTCCCAAGTGCTACTACACCTGGCTGTCACTTTTTTTTTTTTCCCTTTAATGCTGGAGGTAGAACCCAGGTCTCTACCCTATGCTAAGCTGCCAGGGAGCTGTTTCCCCAACTAGTTCACTCCCTTTTTATTTCTGTCGCTAGCACATACATTTAACTCTTTTCACAACACTTTTAGTAAGGAAACATACTTTTTATCACTTAATTGTACAAAACTATAAAGAGAGAGCAGTGAATCGGGCTGAAGGACCAGACTCAGTCCTACAACTTGTCTGTAGTTTCTCAGTTCATGTGCTATGGTGGTATGATGGGCCTTTCTGTTTGTACTCTCTCCTTTTGAGCCTGCAAAGTTTCTCAATAAGTTCTTACCACCAGCCTTCTGCTTATGTTAGAATGATTTGTCTAAAATTCAAATCTGATCCTGTACTTCCTTAATTCAGAGGTTCCTCAACACTCAGTGTTTTACAAAGTTTCCTCCAGTAAAATGCTACTGATGGTGGAGGAACCTTTCTCAACTGGAGTTCCATAAGACAATTAAGCCCTAACACCATTAGGCATCTGTTGTCTTAATTTTTTCCCACTATATCTGGAATGGTGCTAGTTATGTACAGTCTTAAAGAGAATTGAAAAGACAGTCTCTTTAATTATTTTCTTTGTTCTGTGGTTCTGATGGGGAACCCAGTTATGAAAGACAGGAAGAGAAAATGTCTTTTTCAAGAGGTCAAAGAGCATAGCTGGGAGCAACTTCAGAAGAGAGGCCATCAAATTTCATTGGAATCTAGGGTTTTATCTTTAAATTTTTTATGGGACTATTGCATTCTACCACATAATATGTTCATGGTTTAAAGTGTTTTAAAATATTTATCAATGAATAAAATTGATTCTACAGAAAGATTTGCCTGTGGTCTGTGGAACTATAAGTAATTACCCTCTTTAAAAAAACTTTATAGAGGGCATTTTATATATGTTTTATTATTCAGCGTCTCTAGAAAAATGCCCAAGATCACACAGTTAGTAAGATGTCAGTCTAAGGTACAAAATCCATGTTCTTCTCAACTCTAAAGCCCATGCATTTTCTACAGCTTGAAGCTAAATTGAATCAAGAACTTGGAAGACTCTTTGCCCATTTCTAAGTTTATCTTCGCTGGAATACGGAATTTTTTTGGGTTAAGTTACTATTGTGGATCAGATCATGCATAATTTCATACTTTTTATGCAGAAGACAGCCAACCCTTGACTATCTAAAAGAAAAATGAGCAATAGTGCAGGTATTTCCATACAACGGGGAAATCTTATTGGTGCCTCAGAAACAACCTAAATGGCTTTTTAAAAAATAGATGTATTTTTCTTTTTGTCTTGTTGGATATTGACACATTGTTATTTCTTGAATACTCTCCAGCTGCTCCCTACTTTCATTGAGCCCAGGGCTTTGTGCATGGTAGACAACCAGTGTGCTAATGAGCTACATCTTCAGCCCTTTAAAAACTTCATTTTGAGCTGAGCATGGTGGTATACACCTGCAATCCCAGCACCCAGGAGGCAGAGGCAGGAGGATTGCTGCAAGTTTGAGGCCAGCCTAGGTTTCATAGTTTCAAGGCCAGTCTGAACTACATAGTGAGACACTGTACCAAAAACAAAAAAAAAAAAAAATTTTTTTTTAAGCCTTGAGACAAGGCTATGTTAAGTTGCCCAGGTTGTCCTTGAACTCACAATCTTCCTGCCCAAGTAACTGGAGTATAAGCATGGACCACTAGACCAATAGAGCTGGGGTTTTACCATCTTGCTGTTAAAACTTTGATTCCTGCCTGGCATGGTAGCACATGCCTGTAATCCCCTCACTCAGGAGGCTAAAGCAGGAGGATCACTACAAGTTTGTGGCCAGCCTGGGCGTTATAGTAAACTCAAGGCTACCCTGAACTATACAGTGAGATTCTGTCTTAGAAAAAAACTTTGATTCTAGGCAAACCCCACACAGATAATGAGAGTTATCTCCATTTGTGGCTGCTTACTCAAGACACTTGGGAAAGCATCCACGTTATAGTACTCAGATATTAGAATTTGCCCTTGTCCCCAGTCTGACATTTACATAGCCATTGGTAATCCAGTTTCCATTAGATGTCAGAGGGAAAGTCTGGAATGTGCTGGCAGTGGTCACATTCAACACACAGAATTTCAATGTGATCTGTTTCCTTTAGCTCCTCTGAGAAGCTATAACAGTACTCTTAATAGTAGGAGCACAGTAATTTCATTACCTGGCTGAGTTCTGAATTCCTAGTTCTTTCAGAAGTTTTGAAGTCTGGAAATCTAAGGGCATCCTGAGTATGATATACAGAGTCCTATCAGATTGTTTTATCTGTAACCTCTTGCCTGTTTATTACGGACTCTTTTTTACCATGTGTTACTGAAGATTGCATCTTAGTTCGGGTACTCTTTACATTAAGCAAAACAGAGAGAGAGATAAACTGGAGAGTCAGCAGTTCAGATTATAAGACCTGTTGAGTCAAAGGAGAAACTTAGCAGAATGGAAATCATTTCCTAAGATGGTAGACAAGTCTTCAGGAAACACCTCTGCACCCCAAAGATAGGCACAGCTGCCACATAGTAGCTGTTAAAGGGAGGTTCAAAGTTATAAGCAAACAGCTGATTCTCTTGGTTCTTGAGCTGTTGCTGTTAGTGACAGGAAATCTTGTTCCCCAAGCTACTGGCTTCCTGTTTTATTTTTACTTGTTGCAGATCAGAATGTCCATAATGAGGAGCAGTCTGTTTCAATGGGCTCTACTCTCTCTTTGAGCTTAGATGACTTTTTGTTTTGTTTTTGTGGTTTTGTTTTGTTTTGTTTTCACCCCTCTTGGTCAGATAATAGTTGGTTCACTTTTAAGGTCTATGATAGCTTGGCTTAAGCATTTTGTATTCACAATGAACTTTGGTGATGAGCTGATGTTTTAAGATTTGATGTAAGTAAAACTTTTTAAATTTTTAAGAGGGATTGATAATGTTGGGGGCTGCTTGTATTGGTTTTCTTTATACCTTATCTTTTAACATTTGAAGTGAATTAACCATTTTCCCTAGCATGAAAACCATTATGTCATTTTAGATTTCTCGAGTTTCACAAGATGGAGAAACAGGACCAGTGAATGGGGGACATAGCTTAGAGGCATAAGTGCCTGCCTGACAAGTGCAAGGTCCTGAGTTCAATTCTCGGTACGCAAAAAAACCCCCCAAAAAACAAAACAAAACAATGCAGGACCAGACCAGTGTGCCTTGATTGCAGTCACACTCATTTTGTTGAGACTGAAACTTCTTCCTAAATTTGTAATTAGAAAAATTTAAATGTAGAACAATAACTCAGCATGAGTCTAGTGTACTGGAGGATTTCCTAGGACAAGGGACTCAGCCTAGGGATAAGAAGAGTAACTGAAAGGCTTCTGAATCCAGACACTTTATGCTGACTCTAGAGCCCTTTGGCCTATGTGTATTGAACTGAGTAGGAGAGAAAGGCAGTTGAGTAGAAGAGAAAGGACCAGGGAATCTTATAGCACAGTTGGCACAGCATCATGTTTGACATATTGAACATGTAAAAATTTCCTTGATATTCTTTCATTCTGTCAATTTATAGACTAAACTTTAGTAGTGTTAATAGATACTGGCAGCTAGTATTTAGTTGTACATTAACAGTCACCCATCCAGGAAGAATTGGAGAAATCATGTCTTGATGTGTATCGATGGAATGACTGTTGACAGCTTGATTTCATTGTGAAGATTATCAGATGACAGAAGCTCTTTTTTGATCCTTATAATGGGTGGCCTAGAACCTGATCTGTTTTGGTTATGGACCCCAACGATACCATTCAGTGTCTGCTGAACGAGCTGTTTTCTAACTGTGCCTCCTTGCCTCTGGGGACTCTTGGTTGGAGCAGTAGTTGTGACTTTGAGGTTTTTCTGTTCCCTGTGTACCTAGCTAGCAGTCACCAGTTCAGAATTTCTAAATTTATATGGCAAGTCTTCTAATAGCAAACCTTAAAAAAGATGGGGCTGGGGGGTTAAAAAAAAAGAAAAAAAAAAGGGAGAGTAAAGGTTTTTTAAAAGCTGTTTTAGATCAGAGCAAAACCAAAAGAAAAAAAAAAAAAAACCCTCATACAGCCCTAGTGTGCCTGGAATTTGTGGTTGAGTAATACTTTCCTGTTATTTCTTTTTTAGGTTGTTTTTCATCATTCAGAACATTGCCTGAAGCAGGTCCGCCATGCCGTTAGTAACTAGGAACATCGAGCCAAGGCACCTGTGCCGTCAGAAGTTGCCTCGCGTTAGAAACGAGCTGGAATGCGTGACCAACATCGACCTGGCAAATGTCATCCGACAGCTGGGCAGCCTGAGTGAGTGCCTCGCAGAGCCTGTACTTTGCCCTCAGGGGTCGTTGGTGCTCTTTATTTAGTTCTCTTCTCCCTTATTCCTATTTCTCCCCCATCTGCCTTCCCAAGGTAATGCAAAAATGTATCCCATCCCCCCTTCCCAAAGAAAAGCTCCTTTTTTTGGTACAGATTTTTTCCTTCTACCTTTTCTTCATCTACCACCACCCTGTAGGTTCCCTCTACCTTACCCCACACCTGCTTCAAAAGAAATCTGTGAGAAGGGTAGCAGGAAGGACTGCAGCAAAAACTGCAGATGGAATGACAGAGCAGAATTCTGTGTGTAAAGTGGGAGGTTCACAGAACACTGTCTTGGGTCGGGGAATGTGCCTGTAATTACACGAGCTGTTCTGTGTAGCCTGATTTTGTTGAAATCTCAAATGTGCCAATAGTCTTAATCAATACCCTCCCCTCTTTCTTCCCAAAAAGGAGTAAAGTAAACATGCACTCAGAGGCATTTTGACAACTTGTCTACCCTGATATACATTTAATTGTGCCACAAGCCCCCAGGTCCAAGTTCAGGGTACAGATCAGTTCTGTAGTCTCTGGGATATTGGGAGTTTTGCAAGCTGCATGAACACAGTGACACAAATAGTATCTGGAGCCTTTCTTCTCTAGGAGAAAGATGGGGGCTAGCCCAGTCTGTTTTGGAGCTGAAAGAATCCCAGCATGACTGCATTTTTTTTTTTAATTGGCAAGAATGAATGAGACTGCCTTGGGTGGGGTACAGGCATGTGGTTTAGATTTCATTCTGAATCAATCTGACTCTTTGCTTAAAGTCGAGGTATGGAAGGGCAGATGCTCCAGTTGGCTGTGCATTTGTCTAATGCCACCCCTGCTCCCATAAGCACCTCCAGCAAAATGCCATTTGAGTGATCATCCTTAGCAGAAGCATCTTGGTGTGAATTATTTCAGACATTTCACCCCTCCTATCACATCACTGTCCTTAGTGAAGGCAAACAAATATCAAGATAGTCTGTGTTTCCCCCAGATAATAATAGGCCCTGCCTTTAAAATAGGAGCCTGAGGAGACAGTGCTCTGTGACCAGATGATGTATGGAGTTTCAGATACCTAAGCCTTCACCTAGCACAGGGACCATCTCAGTTGATCCAGGGCTTAGGGAAACCTGGATGGAGCGTCACGAAGAAATGAAGCCCCGCAGTGCCTTCCTTATACAAAGGAGCATTGACAGTAGCGCAACAGCAGTGCGGCTGACAGTGAGGCACGAGAAAGCTGCAAAGCCTCGCTGCTTTTTAAAAGCATCATTTCTGCTCCTTTCACCCCGAGAAGGCCGAATGAGTGAAAGTCAATCACATACTGGTTCTGTCTCCATAGGACAAAGAACATCTAGCTAATGCTTCTTACTGTCCCTAGGAGTTACGCTTCCTCTCAGGTGCTTTCCAGGGTAGTGTTGATGGAAGCCATTGTGGACTCTCCTACTTGTACTCAGATCACTTAAGGGACCCAATCTGAGGGCCAGGGTCAGCTTGTGCTTAAGAAACCAAGATTTTCTCACATTTTGGGTCTAACTAACCCTTTGTTCTTCTGTTAAAGTGTGTTGAGCATATTTCATGTGCTATGCTGAAGATACACTGCTAAGAAATGCTTTCTGCCTTTCAGAAGCTTATAATCTACCAGGGGAACAACAAGAAATTATTCATATGGAGAATTTGACTTGGTTATGTGCTAAAAGCTAAGTTTCGATGAGATCTTAACATAATCTCATTTAATCTTTTTTGTAATCATATGGAGATAGGAAGTCCTATTCCCATTTTTCAGATGAAATGAAAACTTCAAGAGCAACATGAACTATACAGTGAAATCCTGTATGAAAAAGCAAATAGACAAATAAAAAGTTCTTTGAAAGCCAGACAGACAGCATTTTTTGAGTAGCATTGTGACCATCCAGGAAGATGGAACCCCCACCTGGGTCATTAGGAAATTATGCGACGAGACTGGGTTTTCTGACTGTATTGGACTGGAAGGGTAGCACATGATATCAGGGAACTCAGACTTCAATGAGAACCACTGCATTTTTTTTTTTTTTTTGTCTTTTTCCTTTTTATCGGTACCAGGGATCGAACTCACGACTGCCTGCTTGCAAGGCAGGCGCTTATGCCACTGAGCTAAATCCCCAGCCCCCCCCCCCCTTTTTGTCTTACCACTGCATATTTTTAAAAATCAATTTTACCTGTTCAGCTTTCACATAACATTTCTTTTGAAGGGCTCTGTTAAAAGGGGGGGAAAATTGAAGGCTGCTCTGAAATCTTTTGCAAAATATAATGTCTGTTATGAATGTTCTGATGTTTTGGGGTCTCTCTCAATCATCCAAATGAGTGAAATTTAACTCTTAACAAAATAGTTTGGTTTTCTCCTATTTGAACATCATATTACTAATTCTTTTTTCTCTCTCTCTCTCTTTTTTTTTTTTTTTTTTTGTTACTGGGGATTGAACTCACAACCTGGTGCCTGCCAGACAGGCACTTATGCTGCTGAGCTAAATCCCCAGCCCTGAACATCATACTTCTATTTTCATTTGCTCTTTTTTGTTGTCATTGTGTTGTTTTGTGTTTTCGGTACTAGGGCTTGAACTCACAATCTCACACTAGCCAGGCAGGTGCTTGTGCCGCTGAGCTAAATCCCTGGCCCCATACTTCTGTTTTCAGAGGTAATTTTTAGCAGTTGAAGAATAGGGACTATTAAATCACTGCTTGGAATATTTAAAATTTCCTCTAAGCTTAAAGTTTAGGAAATTTAGATTTGTATTTCTATCTCTGTCTGTCTCTGTCTCCCTATCTCTGTCTCTGAAATAGGATCTCACTATTATTGCCCAGGCTGGTCTCAAATTAATGAGTTCATCCTGTCTCAGCCTCCAGAATAACTGAGACTGCAGGTATTTACCACCTTTTCTGGCTTACATAGTTATCCTCCTAAAAGTCATCTAGCTGGGCATGATGGTACATTCCTCTAATCCTGTCACTCTGAGAAACTAAGGCAGGGAAGACCACAAGTTCAAGGCCAGTCTGGGCAATTGAGCAGCACCTTATCTCATAATAAAAAATAGAAAAAAGGCTGGGGATGTACCTCAATATGAATGCCCTGGGTTCAGCATCTGATATATAGGAGGGGGAAAAAAAAAGTCATTTACCATCAGTAAGTAGTTATTTAAGAAAGAAATTTCTTTGTGATAATTTAAGATGTTTAGCTCCTTTAATCTTTATGATAATTTCATGAAGTAGATATAGTTATTTTCCCCAGTTTACAGATGAGGTTGAGGCTGAGAGGTTATAATTTGTTAGAGTATACAGGTATAAATAGAAAAGGCTGAGATATAAAATGAAGGTCTTTGATTTGAAATCCAGTGCTCCTTGCAGGTTCTGTTGCTCAGTCTGTGTTTGTTTTTTGTAGCACTGGGGTGGGACCTAGAACTCGAATGTTAGGCAAGTGCTCTACCACTGAACCACACTCTCAGTACCCTAAAAGAGCAGTTCTGAGTCTGCCCAGGCTTGGGTGGAAAAGATAGCAGAGAAGTCTTCATTCTGCCTTACTCCCTCTTAAGAAAGAGATCCTCATGTTATTAATTTTGTATGTTTGAGTTCTTTGTAAGATTTTATCTGGAAAAACCACCATGTCACACTACTTCACTGCTCCCACTGCTATTCGCTTCTTCATTGAGCAGGAAATCCTGAGTCCTCTCTTGGTGATCTAAGGGCAAATTGATTTGGGATTTTCTTTTCCTCTCGAACAGTTGAATGTTTTTGAGCCTGGTTTGTTTTCCATCCACAGTGTTATATATTTCTCTGCTTTAGCTTCCAAACACAGTTTTCTATTACCTGGTGAAGCATGATACACAGTATAGTTTTTATAGGAACATAGCTATATTATGGACAGGGATCAAATAGGATCTTCCACTTGCAGTGTAGAAATGCAGAGGGTTAGCCAATTTGAGTCCTTCGAGTTCCAGAGCTTCCAATAGTTGTTTAGATCATAGAACCATTCAATATGTAAGGACTTGCTCCCTTCTTGATTAAAAACTCTAGCAATCCAAAATATGCAGTTGATTGGCATCCTTGCTCTCTAGGTTATATACGAAAAATGAACTACAGTTCACCCTAAATGTATAGTTTTGGCCTTTCACGCTAACCACCACCCCCATACAGACTAAGTATTTGTAGTTTAGAGGTGAAAAATGAGAGCCTACTTTAAATAGTTCTCAAAAAAAAAATTATCTTTTGGTTGGGGACAGACACTTTTTCCTGTCTTCACTTTGCAAGTAAGAAACTCAGATGGTATATTTATTCATATACACCACTTTTCATTCCTAGTAAGTTTTCATTCCTAGTAAGAATGTGTTTTGTGGCTTGGAATGACAATATGGTGATAGTGTCAGATTGCTCTTATGTTTCTTTGGCTGCAAATTCTCCTTGCATTCCAGGGTTGAACGTGCAGAACTCTTTTTTTCTTTTGCTAAAACATAAGACATTGTAGAAAGAGACCACTGGTATATTGTTTTTCAGGGAGGGCTTGAAAGTTTCAGCTTTTTACTTGTTCCTAGAGATGTAGATTTGAAAAATCTAGAGCAAAGACTTTGAATGTTGTAGGTTATATGACATAAAGTAATCTTTTCAACTCTTAGAAGTTATGTGACTGCTGTGGGATACTGACACTGACATCTTCAAGGCCCCTCAGAGATACCACAACTCATCTTTCTTATTCAGTGGGCTTTTGAAGTTCCATTGAGGAAGTGATTTCTTATTTATCCTATTACTTGTGAACACCCAGTAGGTCCTCTTAACTCCCAGTTTGTTTTCCAGAACCATTTTACAAGGTGCTTTACAGAATAACAAGGGGGCTAAGGGCTTCTGGCAGATGTGTAGACACGTTATTTGCTTTTCCAATATTTTTATATAGTACCTTTTTAGTTTATTCAGCCTGCCTTGAGTTTAATGACTGTTTAGTTCACAAGGAAGGCTGTGTAAGTTATGGAATATATGCAGACTCTCCACACTATGGAGAATATGTCTCTATCTCCAAGGGCAAGCATGTATGCACATGCACTTGAGTGCACATGTGTGTGCATGTGTGTGTGTTTGAGAGAGGAGAATACAATCTTTAGTGGCCAGTTTTTCTGACTATTTATGTTATATCTGTGCACTAGTTATTTGGGTTCTTCGCTCTCTCCCCAGGTAAAAATGCAGAGGACATTTTTGGAGAGCTCTTTACTCAGGCAAAAACCTTTGCCTCTCGGGTAAGCTCACTTGCTGAGAGGGTCGACCGACTACAAGTTAAAGTCACTCAGCTGGATCCTAAGGAAGAAGAAGGTAAGGAAGCTGTGCTCAGCATTTGCAGGCTCTGCTGAGCAATTTCTTAGAAATTTTTTCCCTGATTTATAAAAAAGAGAAGAGAAATCACAGAGACCTATAGGGTTCTGCTTTGAAATGACACAAGCCTGGGTGTTATAAAGAAATCTTTTTATCTCTGCCACACCCCTACACACTCCCTTTCTCCCATTCCTCCAGTTCCCCTGTTCTAAGATTTCCTTTCCTTTAGTCATATTTTGCTACCATAAAAGTACTGGGAAGACTCATTCTAAGGAGAGGCCTGCTAGATGTGGTCACATAGTAAACCTTTGTGTTGCCTCATTTTGTTCAGTCGTGAAATGGCTGGGCTGCTGACAGCCTTGTGGGGCTTCCCCAGAGGGGGAGGAAAAAAAAAAAACCTGGCTGCAGACAGCCACAGCCAAGAAATGCAGCAGCTGAGGCCTCTCTGACTGGTGTGACTCAGTGTTTGTTCAAATAGCCTGTCGTCCATTTTCTAATGCCTTCCATCTTCTCTCAGTGTCACTACAAGGAATCAACACCCGAAAGGCCTTCAGAAGCTCTACCATTCAAGACCAGAAGCTTTTTGACAGAAACTCTCTCCCAGTGCCTATCTTAGAAACCTACAATATTTGTGATACTCCTCCTCCACTTAATAATCTTTCCCCTTACAGGTAATGCCTGGCTAGCTTCTTTTTTTGACCTGTGTTTAATAATATTAGATTGTCTAAAATGTCTAAAGATGCTGTTTACATTAGAAAATTGTATGAAATAGCTTACTGCTTGCCCCAGAATTGCTTGTGGCAGCAGAAGCTAGTTTATAAGCAGTTGCCACTATTGTTTAGTTTTTGAAATTCATAGTGAATGTAGTATATATTGAAAGTTTACTGTAACATTGCATGCAGCAGAGTTTAATTTGGGATGAGCCAGATCCATCTGGATCCCATCCAAGCAATTTAGTTGTGATGGAACCAAAAAGACTTTGTCACAAGGCAATTCTACAGAGTGGATCCCAGGGGCAACTTTGTAGCAAGGCTCCCACTTACTTGGAAGCCACTAGATTACCAGATGTTTGGGTGTGTTAGCGTGGCCAGCCTTGTGGACTGGCTGCTCTGGGCCCAGAGGGGTCCTTCCAGAGTTTCAGGAGTAATTGGCATTCTTCCAAGTGTCATTCACTTTTTTATTTTTTGAGCCATCCTTTGCACACATTTCCATCTGCAAGGACCTACTCTGCATGGCTGAATTTGAAAAAGAATGTAGCTTGATAGACAAATCCTCTCCCTGCTAGTAGTGTGGTAGTATTGTCATCTTGTACAAAACCACTGAAAAAGGGCAGAAGGTGAATATTTATCTTGCTTATATCCATAAATATCTGGGGAATGGATAAAAATAATTAGAGATAGCTGGAGGCAAATGTCTTCTGTCAGAAACAGGTACACTGCAAAACAGAAAGAATGTGTATGAGTACACACCCCTGTGAAAGTGAAGGAAACCAGCCTGATTCAGGAGCATCAAGTAGACACTAGGTAGTTTCCCACACAGATAACAGAGAAAGTATATGACATCTCTTCTTTCTTATTACTATATGCCCCTTGGTTTTCAAAGGGGCTAACAAGTATAGCAGAACAGAGCTTTTACTCTGTGTAGTATCTCCCTGGTCCCCCAAAGGGTATCACTATGTTGCTCAAGCTGGCCTTGTGCTACTTTTGTTTTTTTTTTTTCTCAAGCTGGCCTTGAACTCCTAGCTTCAAGTGTTCCTTCTGCCTCAGCCTTCTCAGTAGCTGAAACTACAAACATGTGCCACCATGTCTGCCTGCCTCTCACAACCTTTATCTGTGGGTCTAGTTGAGATTGCAGTGCAGAAAGGGATCACACACCTGACAGTATTTAGGGAATATGATACAAGGTTTGTAGGACAGGATAAACAAATGATATTGAGAATTTTGTTTTTCAGATAATACTATTTTCCCTTTAAATATGTGTTGTTTATTTTGTTTTGTTTTTGTTTTGGTATCAAGGATCGAACTCACGACCTCATGCTTTGCCAGGCAGGCGCTATACTTCTGAGCTATATCTCCGGCCCTCTTTTATGTGGGGTTTTTTTTTTTTTTTTTTTTTTTTTTGCCCCCTTTAAATATGTAATCTCAGAATTAGCAACTCCTCTCAGTTATCTAAACTTGGCCTAACAGACACAAGAAGTGGTATATCTAACTCAGAACAAGATTTAATATAACAGTAATGTTTGATTTAGAAATGTATTCTTTATGTTGTGATAGGATTGGAGGGCAGGTAATAGGATTATTTCTAATTCTTCATAATTTAAAATAACACTAATATAAAATTTTACCACAAAGCACATGCTTTGTAGATAGTGGGAGCTTGGCCATGCCAGAGGGGCAATTCCCAATCATTAAACTAGGCAAATAGCCCTTGTATTTTATTTTCTTTCTTTTTTCTTTTTTTTTTTTTTTTTTTTTTTTTTGTCTTTTTCATTTTTATTGGTACCGGGGATCGAACTCACAACTGCCTGCTTGCAAGGCAGGCGCTTATGCTGCTGAGCTATCTCCAACCCCCAAATAGCCCTTGTATTAACACTCAGTTTACTCTGTACTACTGTCATAATCACTAAGGTGATTTATACCTTAGGGTTCTGAAACAGCTGGTCATCTGTTAGTGTGGCCTCCTGTGGTTGTGGTGACAATAGATGCTGAGCTATTCTGCAAGCAAACAAGGATGTCCATCCAGCAAAGTGGTTGTGTGTAAGGAGTAACAGCTGTACATGTACACAGATTCATGTCTGTGTGAATGTGCATGTGATACACAGGTTTCAGGCGGGTGAAAGGCAGTAACATGTCCTTAAGAGTCCTGGGGAGTTGGTAGAGGAAGGGGAACCAGTGGCAGAAATCCCTTCTGATATGCAGGTATACAGATATCCTTTGGAAATTGTCTATAGACGTGCAGATCATTAGAAATAATCAGGATTCCTGCTGCTACTCCTTGACCTTGCAGATTCCTCTGTCAGGAGTTGAAAATAAGGCAAAGGTTCTTTTTTTTAGTACTGGGGATCAAACTCAGGACCTTGCACTTGCCAGACAGGAGCTTGTGCCACTGAGCTAAATCCCTGGCCCCAGGGCGAAGGTTCTTTTAAGAGGTAGAGTGGTGCCATTCAGGGACACTGAAATGCTGGTATGGGAGAGGAAATATATAATTGATTTGAGTGACTTCTTAATTCTTTGGTGTAAAAAGTGCTAACTGGTAGGTGTTTGGAATATCAGATTTGGTTGGGAGCTCATTTCTCTACTGACAGCTACTCATCTTCATTTCTGTCCCAGGGATGATGGAAAAGAAGCACTCAAATTCTACACCGACCCTTCATACTTCTTTGATCTTTGGAAGGAGAAGATGCTGCAGGACACCAAGGATATCATGAAAGAGAAGAGAAAGCATAGGGTGAGGCGAAAGGGGCCTCTGTTCTACACATCAGTAGGCACGATTGTGGAGGGGGGATAAAAAGGAAACCAGTCTTATGTGAAGTAATTCTGAGTGGCTGCTTGCTTGGATGCCAGGTAAAACTCTTTAAAAATGTCCATACCAAACACCACCAAGATGAAAGTATAAATCACACCAGAAATATGTTCGTTCACACTAACGCTATTAACAATTGGGAGTCAGGCTGAGTTTTAGAAATTGACTTTTCTATTCACCATTTATTTCCCTTGCAAGTTGCACCTGACTGCTGGACACTTGAGCCAGGCTAGTCCCTTCCTTACCAGTTTTGCAGCTCATTTCTTAGAGACTTCCACAAGATTGTGTAGTTTGATTTGTAACAGGAACAGTTTAACACCTTAGCTTCTGGTTGGGTGGGGCAAGGACTGCGGATAGGCCTGGTTTGTGGAGATGCTCCCCTCCCTTCAGGCTCCTGATGCTGTGTCGTGTGTGTGTGTGACCTAACAGTTTCGACCTCACAATCCCATTAGCATGGCTGCCAGCAGACCCAAGAGAGCGCCAGAGGCTAATGCAGCTGCGCAGGCTGGAAAATTCTTCATGGTCTTTTGTTTTGTTGTGTTTTTTGTTTTTTTAACTATTTCCTTATATCTGTCTCAAATATCTATAGCTCTCATTCTTATTCCTCTCTTGACTGACCTTTCTGGCATAGCAAGTAACAAATAACTTTACTAACTTTCCGATTATTACAGTTGTTCGAAGATTTGAAAGGCTTGCTTAGAGAGGGAAGGGGTTTCCTATTGCTAGAGATCTTTGAGTGTGGGACTAAGCAAATGTTTTGCCCAGGAGGTGATTTGAATTAGATGGCTTCTAGGTCACTCCAAACCCAGCAGTTTTATAAATGCTGCTGTTATTGAACATTGTCTAGGCAAGTCATCTCTTAAATGTGCATTCATGAAGATGTGTGGAATTTTAAGGAAGAACTTCAGGGAATATTTTCCAGAGGTATTTTTGTTTCATTTTATTACAGAAAGAAAAGAAAGATAATCCAAATCGAGGAAATGTAAACCCACGTAAAATCAAGACACGGAAAGAAGAATGGGAGAAAATGAAGATGGGACAAGAATTTGTGGAGTCCAAAGAAAAGCTGGGGCTTTCTGGGTAGGTGATGATTTTATAACCTTTGTAACATTCTTAAAGGGGCTGGGGACATGGGGCCAACAGTGTAATAGCTCTGGCATCATGCCTTCTGTACCCCTTGAAGTCTGGCTGTGTGGTTTAGATCAATACCACTATTAATCAGCCATTTTTTAGTGCATCCATCTGGTAATTAAAATTTGCTAAATAAATCAAGAGACTCAGCAATTTAAATGAGGTAACTGGAATGGTCTATTACAGAGGCCCATGGCTTTTAGTGCCCTTACTCTGCCAGGCATAAGGTCTCACAGGGAAGATTAGAAAAGTGGCCCGAGAAGTCCTTTGCCTCTAAAGCGTATATTTGAAAGTTGTGCCTAAGAGCTGGGCATTTTGAGGGAGTGGGGAAAACTAGGCAGGAAAATTGTGCACTTCACCAGAGCAATTTTCAGTCAGCTTTTGTCAGTCTTGGAAGAGAATCTGGCCAAGGGTCTGAATGCAGACCTCAGAGTCAGTGTGGGAAAGGTTGCTTGGCCACTGTGGAGGCTATATATCTCTGTGGGGAAATAGGAGATGTCAGTCTGACCCCATTTCCCAATACCAAATCACACTGAGGGTTTAAAGAGGGGGAAATGATTTTAAAGCTTAGTTTGATACTCACCCTAGCGTCTGACCTGTGTGACACTGAAAACCAAGTCATTATGACTGCTTGGCATGAATATCACCTGGTTTTTCCTCTGAGTACATGATATCTGGGCTATCACAGAGACCATGCCTGGTATCTAGGAATAACAAAAGGAAACAGTCGAATTGTTCTTGCTTTTTGGAATAACTCTACCATGAAAATCCTAGCTTTTGAAAATCTTGACACTCTTGACACTTGTTCTTCCTGGATTAAGAGGTTTGTTTTAAAGAGTGATGAAGATAGTGAGAAAGAAAATGAACTCTTCTCTCTACAGGGAAGTCAGCCCTGAGGGTACCTTTATTCCTTCACATCCCAGTAAGGTGGGCCGTTTTGTTCATGGTCCTCTCCTTTGCAAACATGCACTTGTAGGTTCAGTGGCTCTAAAGCCAGAATGCCAACTGTAGCCAGGCATGGTGGTACATGCCTGTAATCGCAGTACTCAGGAGGCTGTACTGAGGCAGATCACTGCAAATTTGAGGACAACCTTGGTTAAATAGTGAATTCAAGACTAGTTTAACTACATAGTGAGACCCTGTTTCCTCAACCCTCCAAAATGCCAACTGTTTGTTATCCATGCCCCATTTTTGTGGGATAGGGGTGGTAAAGGTGAGATGTTTGCTTCTCGTTTTCTTATTGTCCAGGAGGTTTGGTGTTAGACTGCACAGCTAGTCTGTCTGGACATACTTGTTGGTGAACCTATCAAGAGAAGTGCCAAGCCTACAGGGCTCCAGGCTTTGGGGATTTTCCACATCAGAGCATCATTTGATTCAGTTAGTTCCCTCCAACTCTGCTCTCCCTGTGATTTGTTTTTGATGAGTTCTGTGGAACCACCAATGGTAGAAAGAAGGGGAAGGTAGAGCAAAGCTCATATGGTGTATTTGTACTCATATGAGGGCTTATTGCTAGATGCATTTGTGTGTGTTTGAAGTTTTGATGTTGTTCACCCACAGCAAATTCACCCAAGGCCCAGTGCTCTGAGGGACAGGCTTTTACGAGGCAAGCCCTAACACCGTACTTTAATCGGCAGCTCATTTTGTTTGATAAAGGAGATCTGGCAGAGAGACCACATTGACTACCACACAGCAACCTGCATTCATCCTTGGCTTGATTTTGCAATCAAATGCCTCCTTGGCCTTTCAGCACTCCAGAGGCTTGCTGACCTCAAAATCAGGCTGCGTGCCAGTCACGTGTGCAGCTCACTAACCCGTGGGGCTTGGCTTCACCTTTTGCACAAGACAGACTTTGGGAGTCAGGTATAAAGCTGCAGCTCACATTTGGGAGAGAATTTAAAAGAACTGCTGGGTTTCACAAGACCAGCACTGGAAAAGAAACAGCAGGGTTTTTCATAATCTCGGTTGAATCCCATTACTACAAACAATCCAGTAGAAATGTCTGGGAGATATGATGTAGGATATTTAGTTAGCCCTTAAATAAAATTTCAGTATAACAGAAAATATATACAGAATCTCCTTATTCTCTTTCTTCTCATAACTTTTGTATCAAAAACATTTTTGTGGTATATTTGAAGAAGAAAAGAGGCTCTTTCAGTGACACCTTTTGGCCTTGGATTTGTTGTCAGGTATTCTCCTGCGTTGGTATACCAGAACGGCAGCATTGGGTCTGTTGAAAACATGGATGCAGGCAGCTATCCACCACCACCACAGGCAGACACTGCTTCATCACCTTCTCCCTCCTTCTCTGAGGACAACTTGCCTCCCCCACCAGCAGAATTCAGGTAAATAGCAGAACCTCTTGCTCTGTGTTGAGTAGTTAAACACTCAAGAACAAAATAATAGTTCAGTTCTAGGCCAGGACCGCTGAAATACCTCAAGAATGTATGCCACTCCAGATAATGGAAATAGGTAACCCTTACCAAGGTTGCAAGGTACCAGGTATTGTTCTGAATACTGTCTGTATTTTTTTTCTCAGGGGCAAGTGATACATACATTGTACATTGTCATCCCCAAGTCATTCTACTGTTTGTTGTTTAATTCTCTCAGGGAGGGGCTGGGGGTTTAGCTCAGCGGCATAAGTACCTGCCTTGCTAGCAGGCGGTCGTGAGTTCGATCCCCGGTACCGATAAAAATGAAAAAGACAAAAAAAAAAAAAAAAAAATTCTCTCAGGGATCCTTTTGAGCTAAGTACTGTCATTGTCCCCATGTTACATTTAAGTAAACTGAGGCACAGAGAGGTCATTGAACTTGTCTAGTGTCATAAAGCAGAGTCAGTCTGATTCCTGGGACTGTCTTCTTAACTGCTCTATTCTGCCTATCCTGAACAAATAGAGAAGTCACCAACATTTTTTCTTTTTTGGTTCAGTACTGGGAATTAAACCCAGGGTCTTTGCATTGAGCCATACCCCCAAACCCATTTATTTTTATTTTGATATAAAATCTCAGTAAGTCACTGAGTTACCCAGACTGGGCTTGAATTTACTGTCTTCCTCCTTTGTGTCCCAGAGTGCTGGGATTATAGCTCTGTGCCACCAGGCCTAGCTCTTACTTTTTCACTTACCCTTAACTCAGTACAAAATGACATGGCCTTGAAACAGCAGGCACTTTGTCCAGGATCCAGAACCTTGCAGATTTTCACTTCTCTCTCCCATTGCCTCTGGGTTCATTTCACTGCTGGGCGGACTTTCCAGAAAGAGTGAGATGGGAGGAGGGAGATGAAATGTAGAACCTGTCTGTTTTGATATTTGTCAGTGTCCCTAGCAAAGGTGTACGGAGACTGCCTGTAATGGCTGAAAAGAAGTCTAAGACTTGTTCGGATTCCGGTGTTTTCTCACAGTTACTCTTTGTCTTTCTGATGCTTGACAAATGAGAGCTTTGAAAGGTGCACTTTTCTCCTTGGACACTGTTTAATTAGTGACTTTGTATGCTGAGGCCCCCTCAGACAGAGACCTAAAGCAGTGCTGTCCTCCCCCTCTCCCCTCATTCATCTTGGTCCTTGAAACCACTAATCCCAAATCTCCTTCTGCCTCCCAAATCACTTCCTGCTGGTTACTCTGTCAGATGCAGCTAAGACTTGAAAGTCTGCGGAACATTCCAAGATGGATGCTTTTCTAAGGAATAGCTGTTAATGTGGGGCAGATACAAAGGTGGAAGAAGAAACCCTTCAGCCTCACATGCAGCTTGCAGCTTGCAGCTACACCTACGCAAATCTGATCCCAGGAGTAGAGCCTTAATCATCTCTCAAACCTGGGGAAAGAGTTGGTGGCACATTCGTTTCCTATTTTCATCTCCTCAGAAGGAGAGTTGTTCTCTCAAGTGAAGATCATGTATCTAAACCCATATCTCACTCAAGTTTGGAAGTAGGAAGACAGTAACTGGTCATGGTTTTTCTTCCCTCACCAGACCTGGTGAATGTTATAGCTTGAGAAACAGATCCTAGTGAGTGGGTAGTATTTGAATTTTCATTCCACTGATATACATTTTGTAGTCCTGCCTCTAGGCTTAAATTGGCAACTGCCCATGGGCTGTTCCTCTGAAAGAGGGTTCAGTACTTTCCCTTTAGGGCTAGGGTCAGAGGAAGACCTAAGAGATGTGTCAGCTAGCCATTGAGGAGTCGTAAGTTCACTTCTGTTGTTTTTTTTTTTTTTTTTTTTTCTTTTTTCCGGTACTGGGGATCAAACTTACGACCACCTGCTTGCAAGGCAGGTACTTATGCCACTGAGCTAAATCCCCAACCCCATAAGTTCACTTCTTACAAGTAGTTTCTGTCAATTTCTTGTTATCTGCCTTTGCTGGTGGGCAACTTAGTATCTTATAAAGATACCCATTTTCTTGGTTGGTCTGACCCTTCCCAGGTCCTGTTTTTAACAAAGTGAAATGATAGAGTCAATCAAGAGAAGCCTAAGCTTAGAAATAAGCCTATCGGAGCTGGGGATTTAGCTCAGCGGCATAAGCGCCTGCCTTGCAAGCAGGCGGTCGTGAGTTCGATCCCTGTACCGATAAAAATTAAAAAAAAAAAAAAAGAAAGAAAGAAATAAGCCTATCTCAGAGTGGGGCTTTGCATCCTGAGAGTGATGATGGGTCTGTTTCTTTGCCCTTATAGCTATGCAGCAGATAACCAAAGAGGATCTGTTCTGACTACACCCAAAAGATCCAGTGTGGTCAGCCCAAGCCATCCACCACCAGCTCCTCCTCTGGGCTCTCCACCAGGTCCCAAACCTGGATTTGCTTCACCACCAGCCCCACCACCTCCACCTCCCCTGGGGATACCCCCTCCACCACCAGCCATGGGATTTGGGTCACCAGAAACCCCTCCACCACCTTCACCCCCATCTTTTCCACCTCACCCTGATTTTGCTGCCCCTCCACCACCTCCACCACCACCAGCAGCTGACTATCCAACTCTACCACCACCTCCCATGTCCCAGCCAGCTGGAGGAGTGCCTCCCCCGCCTCCTCCTCCGCCTCCTCCAGGACCCCCACCTCTTCCCTTCAGTGGTGGGGATGGCCAGCCTGCGGCCCCCCCACCACCACTTTCTGATGCCACCAAGCCCAAGTCTTCTTTGCCTGCTGTGAGCGATGCCCGTAGCGACCTGCTTTCTGCCATCCGTCAAGGTAAATTCCAGTGTGGGTCTGGGACCATAGAGTCTTTATCTGAAGCTGGGGTGACTGACTAGAGGCTGGGAAGTGGAGTCATGTGCCTTTCCCAGGGACTAGCCTTCACTGAATGGAGAGATTTGGGACCTTGGGCCTCAGAGCAGTCTAAAAGAAAGCTTCACCCTGAAAATACAGTTTTGAGATTTTTTTCCACATTGGTCTAAGTAAAGATGTCTTAACCTAGGATTTTGGAACTCTTAAAAATGTATGTTTTGTATTTATTTGCATGCATTTTTCCCCCTGGGGAAAGAGCCTCATTTTTTTTCAGATACTGAAAAGGTAGCCAGAAAAAAAAACAGGAATCACTGTCCTAGCAAGTACCTCTTCAGCTAGGCTCTGTCATTCTTCACTGTGCTGCCTATTGTATCTTCCCTCCTTCTGCCTTCTTTTCTCCCCATTTCTATTACCCTTTTTCCTTTAATCCTCTTTTCTTTTTTCCTCTTTTCTCCTCTTCCCTTCATATATGCCCCTTTTGTCCCATCTAACCTTCCTGAAGCATTTATTCTCTTTCAGACCAGGCCAAGTCTGGTCCTATGGGGTTAGAGTAGCTGTGTGTGACCCTCAGGAGACTGGTAGTTTTGAGGAGACAGAGTCCAGAGGTGCTGAGCTCCCCCCCCCATTACAATCAGTCGACTTGTGCAGACAGCACTTGCTGGGTGGAAAAGTGGTCCACTCCCAGCTCAGAGCCTTGTGAGAAACTACCATCTTCAACAGCCAGAATAACAGCAGGCTTTAAGCCCTTCAGACACATACAGCACAAGGACTCTAACTTCGTAAAATCCATCTTTCCTTCTTTTCCCATAACCCTTTTGCCCTCTTTGCTTTCCTAGATGAGGCTTCTGTTTCTCTTGTCTTTCCCAGTCCCCTCAAAGTGGCCACCTGCCCATGCTCAGTGTTAGATGGATTCTTGCTTAGTGTCGAGGACATGTCTTCTCAACTTTCTCCCTCTCTGCTGTCAGGCTTTCAGCTGCGCAGGGTTGAAGAGCAGCGGGAGCAAGAGAAGCATGATGTCGTGGGTAATGATGTGGCCACCATCCTGTCACGTCGCATTGCTGTGGAGTACAGCGACTCAGAAGATGACTCTTCCGAGTTTGATGAAGACGACTGGTCCGATTAACCCTGCCTGCTGCCCACCTCCTTTTACTTTCCTTCCTGCCCACCTTCTTTGATACCTATCCCAGTAGTCCCATGGGGAAGAAAAGGGAGGAAAAAATTTCAAGGGGCCAAAGCCTTTCCTGAAGGAACCAAAGACATATCCAAGTGCTTCCTCCAAATGAACATGTTATTTCCTCTCCCCACTGTCAGGCCCATGGGGTTCCATAGAGGCGATGTTCCCTCTTCCTTTCAATGGACTGTTCCATAGTGAAAGGAAGAAAAAACCCCAAAGCAGATCCCTTTGATAGGGAGTCATTTGGAAGTAGTGCCTTCCCTGGGAGCCATTTTGATCTGTGGCCTTTTCCCAAAATCCTTGACTTTTGCTATTTCAAATCATGACCCCCATCTTCTGGTCCTTCAAGGACACAGCCAGCCTTGGGAGGACAGCAGGCTGAGTGTCCCTAAACCAGCCTGCTTTACCCCTCTGCCCCATCCTCTGCCCTAATCAGCAGGGCAGGGCTGCCTTTTGCTCTGCAGTCTCCCATGCCCTTTACTCCAGGAGGCATCAGGCTGCCAAAGAGTGCCTCGTCCTCTCTGCCCAGAAATGATGTCTTTCTAAAGACTGAGGTTGTTGTCTCCTTCCCTGGCTCCCTCTTACTGAGCATGGTGTTCAAGTATCCTTCAGATGCTCCTCCCTTCCACCCCCCTCGGAGCCCATAGGCCACACAGCCTAGTTTTAACCTCTGATATCCATGACCAAACTAGCCCTGGCACACGGACCTGGGCCTCTGCCAGCTGCCGGCAGCAAAACTTAGAGACTTGGAAACGCAGGACTGAGAGAATGGTAAAACTTCTTGGGTCCTGCCATAAAGATGCTGCAGCCTAAAGATGGGAAGTGACTTGCACAAGGTCACACAGTTGGATAGTGACAGAGCAAGGGCCCAGACTTGCTGATTCCAAGTCACCTGTGTTTTCTGGGACCAAATGATGGGCACCTACTGGAGTCTGGGCAGAGCAATCTTGGCTCTGTACTGCTCCAGACTTCCCAATAGGCAGGGGTCCCAGTTGGAGGGCTTAGGCCTGTGCCAGCTCTGCCAGTGCTACTCAGACCTTTATAGGCTCTCGTAACCCTTTGTTGCCTTCTTCCTATCACCAGCCAGTCATGTGGCCTAGGAGCTGAGCTTCTAGGAGACCAGAAGTAGGAAGGGGCCAGGCAGTTTTGACAGATGCCGTTTTCATTGCCACTGCAGCTCCTCCCCCTTTCACTTCCCCAATTTAAGCATAGGTTCTGCCAGCTGTAGAAACTTCAGTCCCTCAGGCTGGCAGCTGCTGCAGGTACCTGCCTGGAGGGACCTGGCAGCATGAAGAGAGCTGAAAGGCAGAGCGATTCAGGGTCCTCTTCTTGTCTCCCCCATCACTGCACACAGTGATGTTAGTGCCCTGCTTGTCTCTCTTCCCAAAGCTAATACACAGGTGCTATTATTCAGGAAAAAACTGGTCAGCTCTGGCCAACAGCAAGGTTCCTTCTCTTGTGCCCTAATGCTGAAATCGGCTTCTCCTGACTTCTCTGGCTTTCAGAGCCTGAAACAAAGAGAAACAGGATCTGTTTCTACCCAGCACAGCAAATGGTTGTAGTAATTGCCAAAGCCCTTGTAAACCCCTCCGGCTTGAGCAGAGTGTAATCGTGGGCACTGCTGCCTGTCCTTGCTGAATGCCCCTCTCTCCCTATTTTCTTGAACTCGGGACATGTGGACTGAGCCTGCAAGTGCCAGCCGGTCTTCCTGCTGTGGCTACTCCAGAATGTGCCCTCATCCCACTCCCCAGATTGCCACAGGGCTTCATGCTGAGCACCCCAGGGTTTCCCACTCGCACTTTGAACACTGAAGCTGCCTTCCTCAGAACCCTGAAATGGCTGTTGAAGGTTCCCCGGATGTGGCCCAGCAGAGGCTAGAGAGGCAGGTGGAGGGCACCAGCTCTCCCAAATAGGAGTCCTGGGGCCTGGCCAGGCCAGGGTTTGGGCCTAATGGGTTTGACTAAATTACCCCATCCTCCTCCTTTCCGGAAGAGGGGGAACCAGAGCCACTCTTCATTTTACTCTGACCTTGAAGGGGGCGGTGTTGGCCTGGCTTCTGGAATGGACAGAGTCCACCATGGAAAGGACTGGGGGCAGGAGGAGGGAGGGAGGGGCTCTGCCTGCGGAAGGTAGGATTAGATCATTAGCTCAGTGACCTCCTAGGGTTTCCATGTGCTGTGTTCTCATCCTACAGCTGGTTTGGTAATGATCTGCAAGTCCCGGAGAGCAACAGCACAGCTCTGCCTGACGCTCTCATTAAAATCCATGCAGCCAAGCTCAGGCGCTTTGTAGCAGCCGGCCTTGCAAAGCAGCCTCAGCTGGGGGGGGGGGGGGGGCTGGGGACTCAGTCAGCTGAGAGGCCCTCTGGGCTCTACTTTGCATATGTGCACCAAAAAAAAAAAAAAAGTTCTTCTTTAAACCCAGTGCCCTTTAAGATGGTAAAGGTAGGCATGTGTTTTTGGAATTGTGTAATTGCAGAATGTGAAAGTTTAGTGATTAAACTGGGCCGAGGCTGATAGAATGGAACAATGGCCCATAAGGATTCTTTAAGCACTGAAGCCAAGGAGCCACCTCCCTTCCTGATCTGCTAGGCCCAGGGGACCTGCCCCTAGAATGTTACGGCCCAGGGACCCAGCTTCCGATTGACAGTGTCAGAAGTGACTTGCAGCTTTGCTTTGGTCGTGAGATGATTTCATTCCAGAGGAGCGGGTTGGGGGGGCCGCTTGGAGGCTCAGAGCAGCTGGCCCAAACTCCAGCTTGCTTCCAGTGGAAGCTTGAGCGCCCTCAGAAACGACCCTGGCCAATGTCACCGCAGAGCTGAGGCAGTGTTGTCAGGGCTAATGTGAAATCTCTTCCCGTGGCGCCGATCCTCCAACTCTGCAGCGCCAGCTTGGACAGATTGAGGTCTCTGTGGCTTTGGTGACCCTGCTTAAGCATTCCCACCGTGTCCCTGCTCTTCTCTGCTCTGCTCTCGGATTGCCTCCCACTACAGCCCCTCACCTGACCTCAGGGCCTGGGGAGGGAGGCAGTGCACAAGGGCAAGGCGCTTCTGCTCAGGAAAGATGTCAGCCTTCCTGGGGGCATGAGGCTCTGAGCTCTGCTGGGGTCCAGCTGACTTGGGACCAGATGTTTCACAGAAAAGTGCCTCACTCTGTGCCTCCTACCTTCTTCACTTTAACAGTGCCTCAGTGAGGGCTAGGGAACAATTCTTTTACTGTATTAACTTTATTCAGTTAGTTCACTTGAGAAACTAACCAATTTTTACTTTCTGTCTAGATTGATGTACATGTAGGAGAATAAGCTGTAATGCTCCCAAAGTGCCTTGTTTTCTCTGATATAAATATATTTATAAGGACATATTCCAGTGGGTTCTTGGAGGTGTGTGTCACATTAGGGTTTTAGGAAGTGAGCATATCTGTAGTTCGTGGTAGGAAAGCCTTCTGAAAACAGGCCCCTTTTCCAAGGTTAGGAAAGGGGCTCTTCAGTTAAGAGATCTGAGCAATGGGGTTAAGCCAAACCCCTCAAGTTGCACTCATCTGTCCTATTCTTCAGACTCTCAGGAAGACATCCAATTAGGAAAGCCCTGCAGCTCCAAACCTGGTCTCATTTGCTTGCCTGCCAGGCTCACATGTGTGCCACTTTTGTACCCCAGTGACCTGAACTTCCATGTAACTACATATACACACAAACCCTGAAATGCCAACATTTTCAATAATTTGATAAAATCTCTATAGTCAGTCACCTCATGTGTGTGGGAGTGTGCGTGTGTGTGTTTATCACAGAAATTAGAAGAGCAATACTGATAGCCACCAATGATGATGGGGCTTCAGAGCCAGGTCCAGCCCAAGATCCAGGTTGGGGGACCCAGGACCGCAACCTCCCTCGTGCCCTCTCAGGAGAAGGGGTGTGCCGGGAGAGGGAGATGGGCTGTCTTGCACTAGGCAAGAGGGGCACAGTCTGTTGATGCTGCCTCCCAACATCTGGCCAGCATCTTGTCTGCCTCTCAGACCCAAGCAACTTACCTTAAATAGAACGATTTACAATGGAATCCGATAAAAGGTTCAGGCTGCTGCACGCCCCCTCTTCTGCCTGGAGAAGGCAGGGGGGCTGGGTTTAGATTCTGACCCAAAAAAGTGACCTACCCAGGAAGCAACGGTTGTTCAGAGCACAGCTGCTGCGGGTAACTGTCCCCGGGGGTAATTTATGAACAGACACCCAGTTCCGGGTCCAGCAGACACAGTGGGGTGGCCCTTGGGAGAGGAGTGAGAGCAGAGTTGGTAACTCCATGGGTCATGCCTGCTGTGCAGGGACAGTCACCCACTGGCGTCCCAGGAGAGGGGGCAGAAGTTTTGAATTGTCAGCAATTGCTGCGCCAGCCACACTGAGCTCATCGTTGGAGGTGGGGATGCAGGGGAGGGGGTGCAGAGCCTGCTCACCCTGCAGAGCCCCTCCACCCCACCCTCCTGCTCAGGCCTGTGTTTAGTCAGCACTTGGCTGCCAGAGGCCAGTGACTGACAGGCAGCCAGACGCCCGCCCTGGCAGAAGACAAAATGGTAGTGTCGGGAGCCGCCCTTGCTAGGGAATTGGAGGGAAGGAATGTGGTTCTGGGAAGTAAGAGGCCTGTGCTTGGATTCTGGCACCACCACTTGGGAGCCTGTGCATGTCGCATTACCTCTCTGGGGTAATCCTGAGAATGCACATTTACTGAGCGCCCACTACCTACCAAAGGCTGCATGTACTTCATTTCAGTGTTTAGAGACGGGTCCTCGGTTTCATAAGAGAAAAACAGATTCACAGAGATCTAAGATCACATTGCTGGCCAGAAGCAGCCCACGCCCTGTCCACCATGTGATTTACACAGTTTAATCTTCATCTAGCGTCTGAGTTCTTATTGTGGTAGGGGTTTTTTGTGTATGTGTGCAGGATTTCTGTTAGCCTTATTCCCTGGTTCCTGGTTTTCAGGTGCAGTAACAGGTGGGACTTTTTTGCTCATTGAAATCAAACTCCACCAAAGGCCATAGACTTTTGGAGGGGAAGTAGCCTGCATCTGCAGCTACCTCGGAACAAAGCAGACACCCGAGTTACGGGTTAGGGCCTCACACAGACACACCCTATCCTGTACACTCACAGGTGGATGCTAATTGATGCATGTTTTTGTACACATGCAGGGTGAGTGGCACACAACCCAGGCCCAGGGACACATTGTGCACAACACTGCCCTTGTGTGAACAAGGACACAAATCAGCATACAGTTACAGGAACACATAATTGCAGGCAAACCTCACACCAAGTCCTCCAGAGCTGCCCCTCCCTGCTCGCTGGCTCTGCCAGTTGCTCACTGCCCCCTCCTGGCCGCCCAGTGGCCAGGGCAACCTGGCACCATTTTCTGAAGTTCCACTGTTGGTGGTCTGCAGCCAGCTCCCTCCAGTCTAAGGGTAGGAGCAGTTTTAAGTGCTACTTCAATACCCCAGGGGCTAAGGATATAGAGGGGGATCTTAAATTTAAGGACAAAACACCCTTTAACATCCCAAGGAGGTTTTCAATTTTCAGTCTCATGATAAGAGGGCAGGTGGGATTTGGGACAAAAGATTGGACATACACACTGTTCGGGCCAGCAACCACCCCTGGCCCACTCAGGGAACTGCACACATGTGCTTGTGCCCCTGCATACCTCACACAGGTGCAGAGTGTTGGCAATGGTTAGAGACAGGCCCTTCTCACTTCTACCTTGCTTCTGCTCTGGGCCATGGCTTCCCCAACCTGTTGAGCAGGAAGTTGATGTGATGATGAGAGGGCCCCTCTAGTTTAGTGTCTCACTATCTTGGGAGCTGACATCATGCTTGTACACGTGTGTCTGAGTACAGCATAACCAGGAACGTGGCTGTGGACTCTTGGGGACTTGGAAAGATTGCTAACACCAGGGTCTCTGCTCTTTGGTCTACCAGGACCTTACGGGGTCTGTGGCTGCCTGAAGGCTTGGAAGCTGCCCAGAGGAGATCCAGGCTTGGGCATTCAATGAGGAACCTTAGAAAAGGCAACTTAGGACCTGGGTAGGATCTACCTACCACTTCCTAGCCATACCAACAGACTGAGCAAATGTCCAGCTTGCTTGCTTGTTTGCTTTTGTGGGTGTATGTGTGGCATCAGGTTGAACTCGGGGCTGTCACACTGAGCTACACCCCTAGCCCTTTTAAAATTTTTAAATATTGATACAAGATCTCTCTTAGCTGCTCAGTTACCAGGTTGGACTCAAACCCTCCTGCCTTGGCCTTCCAGAGTGCCGGGACTATGACATACCACTACACCTGGCTACCTCTACTTTCTTTTATATAAAGCAAGAGCAGGCTAAAGGATTTTCTCTCAAGCCACTTAGTAGTTTAGTAAATTGGTCATTGTGCTATGTACAATGTGAGTGATGAATATGTGTGTATGGACTTCATGTGTGTGACTCACACCTGCAGATGTATGTTAGTGCATGCCTACAGATACACTCAGGATATCCTTAGGGATGTACAGTATGCATGTGGCTATGTTTGAAAACCTGTACACAACATCGCGGGTGTGTTATGTATTTGTGTGTGAGTCTTTATTTCCATTTATTTATTTGATGCTGGGTATTGAGCCTGGCACATGATTAAGCATGTGCTGTATCACTGAGCTACACGTGTAGCTCCTGTCTGTGTGTGGATGTTCTTGGGCAGTGTCTGGTTATGACAGTGCACATGTAAGATTTTGCTTGTATACATACCTGGGGTGTTTATTGAATGTGCAAATGTTTGTGTGCACTGGTGTGCTGAGGGATGAAACATGGCTACATGTGAGTGGTGTGTGCATGTGCATGCAGAAATAGCTTTGTATGACAATACACATAAATCATAGCAATACCTTTCCAAGAGAGCGAGATGTCAATGTTTCCCCCAATCCTAGTGTATGGGGTGCCTTGTCTGACTCCACAGCACCCCCGCCCAATTCCCTAGACCCATCCTCTTGGCCAATTTGAAGCCTCTTCCTCCCAGCTCCCGAGAAGGCCTGCAGCAAAGTCAAGGGGCTGGTGGCCAATTAGTGAAGGGGTTAATCAAGGATCTGGGGACCCCTGGAGGGGTGGGGAGCCAAAGACAGGTGTGGGGTTGGCAGGAACTTGAGTTGCCTGTCAGACTGGGGGAAGTGAGAGGGATGGGAGGCTGAGCCAGCCTGTGGTGCTGGAAATCTATGGTTGTCAGGTGAGTTCATGATTACAAAGTACTGACAGCAGCAGGGAGCATATGTGGATGTGTGTATACTGTGTGCGCATGTATTCAGGTCCTTGAATATCGGCCTGCATGCAGCTTTATACATAACTATGCATACCACTTGCTATGCAGGTTTATATCTGTGTATATGTGAGTGTGTAATGGTGTAAAAATCGGTTTGCTTATGCAAGCCTGTCTGGGCTAGTATGCAAGTGTGTGTCTGTGTATAATGAATGTAAGGGTATATACATATATTTAAGTATGTGTTCCACCATGCACTCACAAGCACATAAAGTTGATGTTTGTGTACATGTGTGTAACAATGTACCTGTGGACACTAGTGTGCAAATGTATCTGGGTCTACATGGATATCTTTGTGTGCATGTGTGTGTTGTCTGAACAGCCCCACAAGTGTGTGCCTGTGTGCCCCATGCTATGTGCCCTTGTGCTCACAGGTCTCGGCATGGAAGGAGCTGAGGACACGAGGCTGGCAGGCTCCAGGAGAGAATCTGACAGACGAGCCTTGCCACAGCCCCCGGCCCCAGGAGCCTATTTTTCAGCCTGTAGAAGCTGTGAGCCCGTGAACTCATCTTATATTAATAGCTGCTGTCTCCACACTTATTGCAGGGAGAGGCGGTCATGGCCCTGGTGGGGCTTGGTGCCCTACCAGAGCTGCTCTACCTCACCACACAGGACCAGGAGGGAAGGGAGGGGGGACAGACTCCAGCCCCATCCCAGGGCCAATCCCTGTGGGAGAGGAGCTCCTGCCTCCCTATTTCAAGGAGTCTGGAGCCCAGATGCCCCTCCTGGTCCTCTAGCAGAGTAGAATCAGGCATCAGGGTTGGAAAGCTGGCAGAGGCCAAGAGAGGCTACCTCTCCTCAGACGCACATGCACACACGTGTGCATGACATGACGCGTAGCCCTGGGGTCAGAGGCTGAAGGAATCATAGATGCAGAATGCAAGGGACAACACAGTCATGCCCACGGGGCCCTCGTGTAACTGAGATAAAAGACATGACCCTGCTCCCAGAGGTCTCCGCCTAAGGCAGGGAGCACCACCTAGATCTCAGAGGTTTCCGTCTGGGTCGGGAAGACATGACCTTGTATTCAGGAACCCCTTGTTCTAAGCAGAGACAAAGCCATCTGTTTTCAGAAGCCTTCAGTTTGAGGGGACAGTTGTCCCTTCTCTTAGGGACCCTCAGTTGAAGGAAGGACACAGCCTTGCCTTCAGGGTCCCCATAGTAAGGAAGAAATCAAGATTTCTGTACATGCAATCACTCAGCGGGGCTATAGGAACTTGAATGAATGAATCACATCCTCGCAGCCACAGTAGGGCTTAGCCATAGAGATGACAGCTTTGTCTGCAGCTCACCCCACACAAGTCTCCCCCAAATGCCTCAGATTCATGGCAAAACCACCTCCACATTGACAGAGGGAGATCCCCACCATGAAGGCTCAGTGCAGACCCTTCAGATACAGAGTGGCAAGCGGAAGGTCTCTGTTTGGGCTGT